TGGCCGAGTGGAGCGTGTGACACGACTGTCTTAATTCCTATGGTCGTTAGACGGGGTCTCGAACATTGATGTGCGAGCATTGTCGCTCATCTCAACTACCTATGTTGAGATGCGCGGATGATTCAGGCTTACCGTAACTGTCGTGTGTGCCTTTCAGCGTGGACAATGTCCCTGCTTGAGTGCAATGCGCCTTATTCCTGCCATGACTGAGGCGCATACGTGTCTACACCATTGAGGTGTGAACTCTCCTTAACCTTGCTCCTTCTTCATCCGCACCCCCTAGCCCAAACCGTCCACGCGTGGCCTCTTCCCATGCATGCAACCACACTCCAAACACTCCTCCGCTGCAATCACCACTCAGATACCCATGCCCCAGATGCCCTTATGACGTCCGAAGCCAAGTTTACATCACTAGCACCCACGTCCTAAGTCTAAACCAATCGTGTCGCCGCGGCTTTCACTTGCCCCCCAAACGTCCACGTGGACCGCGCGCGGGCCTTCCCCTCCGTGCGTTCGATCATGACTTTCTGCCCAGTGCATCGCTCATGCCTCCCAGCCAACCACTGTATGTCACGCCCACGTATCCACCCAACAAAGTAGTTCAGCGCCCCCACCCCCCTGGCATCCCTACGCCTCTAGCACACTTACTGTATTCGGGCACATATCAGAATGTAAACTTGTGGAAATCCGCTCTGCACAGAGGGGTAGCACGCAGTCAGGTCGGTAGGTCGTGCATTGTGTCCATGTTATAGGCGAGGAGGAATATACTTGAACGTGAATACGCGCGTTTTGCAAGTTGTGCACTCAAGTGGCTTAATCCTCCTTTTCATCAGACCGCGCCGTCGATCGGAATAGCGGCCTCAATGCATCATCCGGCTATCATACTTGTTTTTATCTTGCACGCTGAACGAGCCCGTTTGTCTTCTTCGATCAAGTTCATAGAAGGTTGCCTACCCCAACCCAGTTCCGATTTCATTGGTAGTGCATGCATGACGCTTATACTTGTCGTAGCAGAGGCGCATATGTTCTTGCCCAAATAAAATGTGAAACAATGGTCGAAGGGCATCAAATAGAGACACCTTCTCGTGGTTATCCCAAGCAACTTGAGTGAACGTCTTCCGCGAGACAGATCGGTGAAATATGGTAATGAATGCGGGGGATGGGGCGACGTTAGGTCTCGTCGTGATTGATTATGCTATATCTCTATATTGCGAAAAGAGAAATAACGGCATGCCTCCAGGTGGGTCCGAGTCACCGACCTCCCAGTTGGAAGATGCCGTCGATCGGAATAGCAGTCTCTCGACACCTTATGCGAGTCGCGCTCTGTTCAGCCGATGCTCAATTCTTTGGGGATACTCACGTCATATTCATGAACAGTTACAGATCATCATCTACATGAAAGCGTATCGGTGGCAAGGCTCGGTTGTGTAACATCTACGCAATGATGCCCTAGTACGATCATCATTACTGTATCATCTAGAACTTTGTCAGATGCTTTCTGAGGTCTCTCCAAACGGCCTCGCGCTCTGCTCAATTCCTCTCCACGAGTTTCGCAAAATAGCACGCATATAGCTGACCATCTTCGACCCATTTTCGAGTTTTTTCGCTCAAGGACTACATCACACCAAAGCAAGGTGTTTCCAGTTTGTCGTACTGACTTTCAGCACCGGATCGTAACACTCGAAGCACAAGCCCACAGGTCCGCCTATCCTCGCAGTCTGCAGCGGTTTCTGACACGAAAATGTTTCCCAGGAGCTTCGCACTTATGTGTACAAGCTATGCTCTCGTGTAATACAAGAGATTCTTTTCGTGCAGCTTCTCGTATGTCTCATTCACACAAATAAACCCATTCATGCAGGCTTTGGGTTGGAGCTAGCAGCATAGGTATACGCCTACAGGGAAAGCAGTACGTGCTTCCTGGCCAACCTCTTTCAGTACGTTGACCAGGACAAGCCCGGCCTGGGGAAGTGGCCCCAAATTCACATTACTGTCTCCGGCAGTATCAACGAGACTTTTCCGTTCATCCTAAGGGTGATCATATCCTCTGTGTTGTATTTGTGTGCAAGCCGTAAGAGAGCCCAGGGGGTTTTGAAAGAAGGCTGGCGCGGCGCGGGGGGTTGGTACCTACCCACTGATAGTTTTTTTACTAAGCTCACGGAGCACGGGGGTGGTGTTGGGGGTTAACGGGACCCAGCATGCTCACCTGCACCCCTGGTATAACGCCGCCAACATAAAACGTGCGTCATTCGCCCGGTCGAATGGTCTAACGAGATGACACCCCTCGTCTGATTGGGGCAGTCCAAGCATGTTACAGAACACACTCGAACATCGCGAGAGCACAGACCTGTGCACGCGAAAAGCAGCATTTACGACGCTCAGTGCAACGTTTCTGTCCCCCAGCCAGGAATCCTTGACGGATTCCAGCTTCACGGAAGTTGCCACTTCCTTTAGTTCGCTGGCGACGGCGCTCGATCAACGCGGACGTTTCCTGGATTGGACTGTAGATGACATCCCTCCACGACAAATAATTTCAATGTCTTTGGTGTTCGAGGAAGACTCAGATCAGACTGCATGCAGGTATGTAACTTTGAATGGGAATCGAGTCTTCAGGCGCCAGGCCGCGAGTTCATAGGCGCTTGTTAGGTTCAAACGTTCTCAGGCTGAAGGCGGACTGATTTTTGCAAGCTACGACAATCTGTGTCTGGGCGATGCACATGGTTATATTTCCGGTAATCTCCATTCTCAATAAGCACCGTCATCTTTTGTGACTGGATTGCAAACAGCTGACATAGTCCGTGGGCAAGAACATGCGCCATTTCATAAATGAAAGTGCGCACCCCCTGAGCTTTTCAATGTTTTCTGACTTTTCTGATTTTACATCCGCATCGGTTTTATTCAGATGGGCTCACCATAGATACATGATCATACCAATAATAATGGACGACACTCTCGACACTGATCAAGGCTATGAGTCTCACAGTGGGCGCTCGAGTAAACAAAGAGCTTATCTTCGTCGTGGCACGCTTGCGCTGGATGTAATACTAGTTAAGATGATGGACATGAACGTCTAGTTGTGGTGACTACTTCCATGTAGGTTAGTCAGTATTACGCTTAAATTTTCTCCATACAATGACGCTATCATTCCCCTGATCTCAACGCCGTCCACAATGGAAGGCCCGGATGCACTAATGCTCTTCCATGCCTCCCGTATCTGACATCATGGATACCAGGGGGGCCGCAGTATGCGTATTTCAAAACCACCATAGTACATAATACAGGTCCCGTTTCTTTATTTCTTATTCCTCAGCTGGGCCTTCACGTCTACGAATACTGCGCGAGCATTCCTTGACATGTCTTCTCCATCCATAGTCAAGTCATTCGAAATAGCGTGAGCCATATCCCCCTCGGGATATGTGAGAAGGGACTTATCGCTTTTTGTCTATCATAAGGTACCTGAGCAACCTCTGTATTTACACAACCTGTGGTGTGTATTTCTTTATATGTGATTCATGCGCTTACAAAATACTTTTATTATAGCTCTCGCCGTGTATGAGTACATGATCACCTTCTCCCTTGAAGTTGACCTATTTTGGCTGTGCTCTGTATCCGGGGCTACGATCGTATTTCTCATCAACCGATATCTGCTCTTGTTCAGCGTCATAGTAAACATAATAGGAATCATTCCTTTGACTACCAACTTGGTGGGTTCTTTCGGCATATGCTTGAGCTTTCCTACGGAAGCTCATGCTGCCATGGAGTAGAGGTTTGTCCGTAAAGGTTGTAATTAAAATATTGCAGTAATAGGGTCAGTTGTGAAGCCATTTTTATCCTCGAAGCAATTGCTGGAAGTGCTATGATGATTACCGCAGCGGGTTTGTTTCGCACTAACATTGGGCTCCGTCCACGACTGAATAACTCTTTCATAGTATTTTCTGCGTTAAGAGCATATGCCATTAGTGGGCTTAGTAAAGGGCCCGCAATGCTGGTGCTCGTGTTTGGACTTGTCCCTACGGCAATCGACATGGTACATTTCAATTTTCCTTGAGGTTTTTACTGGTCTTATGCTACAGCAGTATATCGTCGTAAACACATCCCCCTCTGTGTTCGTGATGAACGCCTCAATAATGTGTGGGTCAATTGATTCTATGGCATTTTCTACTATCTTTCAGTAAGTGTTTTAATTTTAGTCGAGAATATCGACATGCAATAAACATTAACATTGCTTTATATGAAAAGCTGTAAACGCGCTGTTTCGTCCTCGTCATAATTATTGGGGCGCTGATTCCTCTCTAGTGATTCTCGTGTCCTCAGTATCAATTATCATCTCCGACGTGATTGTGATTGTAGTTACTTGGAAGCATACACTGCAGTCGGGCTTGATGTCTCAGGGTCGCAGTTTCAAAAAGTCTATAATATTGGTTGTTTTTCGAGATGGTAAGTCTTCCTTCAAATGATTAGAAACGTTCATTTTAATTGGAAAATCCATATAGGTATAGCGTACTTTCTGTAAGGCTTTATACTATGTTCAATATTTTTCGTACAAGTTGAATAATTATTGCATGCAGGACGGACCTCACATTGCAACTCCTAGGTCTCATACTTACACTTCAGAGCGAAGGCCTGTTGGTCAATATTCATACATCCTGATCCCCCGTTTAATTTCTGACATGGACGATTTTAGGCTGCATTTGCGTTCATGAACGTGTCAGTAACCTGTACAAGTTTGATTTGAGTGCGTTTAGACCGCTGAGTACTCGTCTACTCTTTTAGTATACCATATGTTCTCATTTCCAGATTCATGTTCAACGTTCGAACGGCCTCAGAATCTGCACGCACCATGAATGCTTCCTCCCGGTTCAATTCCGAGTCCGAGGCTTTGCACGTACAGACGATGAGCTTAAACTTCGTAACCAATCTTGTTGAGGACTTGGGCGGACCTCTTGAACATGGTTCACTTTTATCTGCTGATGACGAGCTAATAGACGAGGACGATTTGTCTGAGCCGACTCGTGATATTCCAACCGCAAATGAGAGCGAGCTAGTGGCCGTTAGCGGGGGAGGGCAGACAGATGAAATGGCATGTAGTGAGGTTACATCGTCCTTATAATTGCTCTTAACGCCAAACCGACTACTGCATAGGTACAGGAAAGGACCAGCACCGACAATGTGACAATCGTTGAGATCATTCGATGTAGTCGTTAGGGTTGGGGGGGCAGCGCACTTCGAGTAAGTGGCACAGTGATCTGAGTCTGCCGCGTCGCCATATGTTGATGCTGATTCATCGCTTGGTTTTAAACGCACCCTAACTTGCAGATGACTGTGTGGTTGCTTAAGTGGTGGATTGCAGGCGATCAAATAAGTAGACTATTTGTTCAAGGCTTACAGTGTTTCGGTGGTCTTCGGGACACCAATTTGCATATTTCGTTTTGTGCGCCCCACACTTCGAAATTACACTAAATTTATGTACAGGAATTTTGTGAAGTGCCTTCAAGTCCTTTATGAATTTTATGGGAATCAAACCCGCAATATACCCTCCAACAGAATTCAATTTGTTATCTGTACTCATTTTCGGAAGTTGTGGGTTCCTTGGGACACCGTGACAGTGTGACGTCCCCCGTGGGATGCTGCGATCGAGCGCGGTCGCTACTTTCGCGGCGGACTGCGTAGGTAGGGTGCATGACGCGTAGTACGATCGTAGTTACTTGTAGCGTACGTAGGCCTCTGTACCGGGTCGAGCGTCATGTGGTTTACTTACACGGTCTTTACCAATCTATCCTCCTCCTCCTCCTGAGTCACCGCCACCCCCATCGCGTGTGTCCTCACGCACGATGTCACGCATTCATTTTATTCTCCTAAATCGCGCAATTCTACACGAAATGTCATGGTTTATTGGGCGAAGTTGAATGCAAATAGGCTAGTTATGTGGTGTCCATAAATTCAGAATTAAATCTCTCACAAAATCTGTGAAATTCCTCGAAGTAGGTGGAATTGGGTATATATCATGTTCTCGAAACCTCAATTGAAGGCCGTTCAGCCCCAAGTTTTTTTTAGCATGTAGTTTAATAGAGTACAAGTAGAATATCAGGTGGTCAATTATATCCATTTCCTTAGTCAAGAGGAAGAGCGAGTGTCTCAAGGAACACCAGTGTCCCAAGGACCACAGAAACACTGTATAGTTCATTGTAGTAGAAAATGTTGACATGTCAGATACTAGATACTTTCTGCATGGATGCTCTGCCCCATTCACCGCACGTTATCCTAGTCCTATCATCTCCGACAGCGACTCTCCAAGCTGAGCTTGCGTCTGTCTTAATCCGAATTCACACAACGCAAAAAATTAAGCTTTAAGAAATGATTTCTGCCGACCGTTACTGAAGCAAGCCTTTTCACGCCTCGCGGCCTGGTCACAGACGGCACTACAGCCTGTGTGTCCATCTTCCGTTTCTTGTCGTCTCACTGCTCTTCCAAGCCGTCCATCGACGCGCGGTCCATAGTTGCACTGCCTGTCTTTCGAGCACCTTCGACGTTGACGAGGAATACGTTGGAATTGGGCTCGTGCGTCGGGCGCATGACATGGTACGCGAGGGAAGGGAAACACGGTTGTCGACAGATGCAAGATCGGTGTGATTCTTCCTATGAGCCTACACGCTGAGGACCAGGCCAGTGCGTAAAGAGAACTGTCGCCGTCTGCCTCAACTGCTCATGCTGGCACCGCGCTAGCCAGTGCTTCAAGCTGTCTCATCCGCACTTGCAGAACCTCCCCGAGTCTGCATCGCTTCAAGTGTGCGAGATGCACCTTGCGCACCAGGCAGCGCAGCACATCCTCCGTGTCCAGCGTCTTGACTAGCCCGTCGCCGGACTTACATCCCTTAAGGACGTCCTGGGGGCCCAGTTAGCAGCACAGGTAGAATACAGGTAGGAGTATGCTCGGAGTGATTATCAGACGTGCGAGCATGACGGCGACGATGCTATCCGCCAGCATGCCATCAAACTGGAGGGTGTTGATAGCATCGTTCACTTACATCTTCCACTCCTCGAGCGTCGCGGGGAAGCACCTTTCAGCTGGCTTATTGGACTTCTCCTTTCTCATTCTTGGCCATGATCGGCCTGAACGGGATGCACTCGCACTCCACAAACATGTACCTGTTTGCTACAGCATGAAAAACTCAGCTGCCTCATACGCGCATCCGGCGCTGGGAGCGTACCTGTGTTCTTGAGAGACTCTGTGCTCAACACCTCCCGCATGACATCCACGCAGTTAGAAAAGCGCACGAGTGGGCACCCATCGAGCGCCTTCTCCCAAGCCGAGTTGGCAAGAGTCCTTTCCGCAGCTAACACGATATACCCGTCGTCAAATCAAACACTGCGTCTGGCTCCAGTTCGGCGCATGGGGTGTCGAGTGAGTCAAGTTGCGTCGTAGCTTCACCGAAAGACATTATAGTTTGAGAGATCGAGACGGTAGTGAATTTGAGTCGAAGGTACATAAGTCAAAGGGGAGCGACGAAAAGCCGGGGTGGGAGTGAACGTTGAACGTGGAATAAGGCACTCGCATAGCCGCGCGCTCCATTATGCACCATTCATCAACCATCGCCGGACGCTAGTGGATCCCTTTATTCAAATTGGGCTATGTGTGGGTTCGGAGGGGTTCGGACGATGTATGTCACTTCTTGTCCTATCGTAATTCTTCATCAAATTCACTTATACACGCCATCTCTTCCTCTACGGTCTGTCTGACGCTGCTGCTCTGCTCGATAGCCAGTTTGCCTCTCAGCATGTGGTCCAAGTCCAAGCATATCGCGGAGGGATAACTCTTGCGACCAGCCCAACTGGCCGATCTCCAAACGACAAATCTGGTACGTTTCGCGGTGCTAGCTCAGCCATTCGAACCGTGAGCACCGGACAGCAGTGAGCCGATTTTCTAGCGTAATACTATATCGTCGAGCATGGGCTTTAGGTCCCAAATCATACATCGTAATTGACCCGTGTGCCTAGCAAGAAGGGTGTGACCAACAGGAAGGGACATAGCAACTTGGATGGTGGCAGCGGATACGTATCCCATGCGCTGAACTCAACTGAGATCCCCTCGGGAACGCAAATTGTCCTTGAAGGAGTGTTCTCATCCAATATATCAACCCTGAGCGAAGAGTCCATGAGGGGCGCAAACACACCTTTTAACTCAATAGAGCGCGTGCAGAACCTCCTATATGTCCTTCGCTTGGTCGGCAAGGCGTCCTATCGGATACTCGCGAAATGTCTCCCGGTCAGTAACCCTCGGGACAGCAAATGCAGGAATCATTGAAGATATCCGAGCATCGACCTGTGCCGGTGTTGTCGCGGCCAGAGCAATATCGTCGTCCTCAAGCCCAGACACCGTTGACATATAATGGCGCATTATACTCTTGAGCTTCGTTGCATTTGTCAGAAGACATAGCGGCTGGACGAGGCAGGCGATATCTACAGTGTATCGATGTCGTCTATCGTCCGTGTGGTAAGAGTCTCCTACCAATCAAGAGATTGTCTGCGCACAGCTTGCAGGACCCATCCTCGTGGAAAAAACTCGCAAGGGCACAAGACAGCTAATAGCACCAATAGATGCCAATGGAAAAACAGAGGCGTGATTGCAGGCGGACTTCGGCCAACACGTTTGCCAGGACGATTCCAACCTCGGGAAGTGGCTCCCCTGCCGGAGGTTCATACAAAATATTTCCATCCATTCGGCTTGATACTGAAGGATGAAGATAATATCGTCATAATATTCTCATGAACGTCCTTCATGTGATATTTGTGCGCGAGCCGGAGGAGATGCACAGCGAACGTTAAGGGAATCTAGCGTCGCTCGGAAGAAAGGAATTTCACCCTTTCAGGTCAGTGGGAGTGCTGAGGCAAAGCACATTGACTCATCTATGGTCCTGGTACAACATCCCCAGCAGAATACGCACATGCTCCGTCCAGTCAGAGAGCCACACAAGAAGATCTCCGTCATACAATTCTACGTCCTTATCTTTGGGCTGGGACGGTGAGAACATGATGCGGAATATACCTGAGAATCGCGAGAGAATCTATTTGTGTACAAGGGATACGGAATCTTCAAAACTTATCGCCCTCCAGTCAGAATTTTCTATCGGGTTGTAGATCATGAGTACAGGCGACTTCCAATGAGCTGGCATCGAAATTGTGTCGCGGTCGCTTCTGGAATCTCGTAGAGGACATGAAAATGTTGAAATAGGCGCAAGTATTTGTTGGATGGAGTGAAGCTTGAAGCTTTGAAGTCTGAGCGCTGAGGTTTGAATTGCCAGAGCATGTGCAGCGCCGAACTATTCTGCCGGGGCGCTTATTTGAACGTGGAACTCCGATATCATAACAAACCACTACGATGTGGAGGTAAATTGGGTGGTAGCAATTTGGAATCATCAGGACGCCAAGGAAGCAATTCGTTGGATGTTGACAGATCTAGACATCAAATATACCTGATACTTACAAGACGGGAAAGAATAGGGAATTAATAAAAAATTTGGACATTGCGCTTATAACCTAAGGATTGATTGAGCCAGACTATGCATCCGGGCCGCACATGAATGTGTGAATAGATATATGTATGGAGATGCGGCACAGCCATGAAGCCAAGTGTTTTCTTCGAGTCGTTACTCCTCACTGCTTCATCCCACCTACATGATCACCCGCCAAACCCTCCAGTCCTCTCCAGGAGATCCCTGCTCGTCCACTCAGGCCCACCGCACGCTTCTGCCACAGCAGGCGACAGCGCATGCATCCGGTTCACGGCATTTACCAGCTGGTGATGGGGCCGCACGATAGCTGGCGGAAGGGGGTCCGCAGATCCCACTGCAGTTGGGTAAACTCGGTATCTGCGCAATGTACTAGGGCCTGTGGGGCAGAAGGATTAGTGACGCTGAAGTCTACATTTTGGCACGAGCGGACTCATGATAAAGATAAGGGTGAAGATTTCAACGCTGACCGATCCTCTCCCTTGTGGCGGGGCTCTTGAGCGCCTTCTGCGTTCACGCCCTATGAGTGTTGTTTTTGCATAAGAGGTTTGAGCACACGATGTGTGGCAGACCACTCACGACAGGTACGTGGCCATGTGTAGTGGTCTGACTGAGCTTCGAATTAGTGATTATATCGTCCATCCAGCCTGGTCGAGCGCTCCAGCAGCGCGCTGGTGAGACGAGCCTCTGCGATGGAGCTAGCAGACCAGAGAGCGACGATTGGGGGTCGGAGGGTAGAGACAGCATGGAGAAGTCCACCATGCGTTACAACGGGAAGAGCGAAGAGATAGTAATGGCCTGTGTATCTGTCAGAAGGGTATTTATACCAGAGGAGTGTGGCTGGGATCGGTGGACGTACGCGTGGGCACAATAATCGGCAAGGCTAAAGTACATGCCGCAAACGGGTCCATGCGTAGTTCGTCCCACAATGGACGTATCGCTTTAATCAGGCCCTTCTCTTAAGAAAAAGAACCTATCCAAAGCAATAGGAAAATGATTCGTGAGGCCCGATGTTGATGTGACGTCAGATATCTGTGACCTCCTAGCAGAGCACGGAACCCACCAATGACTGCGCTTAGCCAGCAAACATCCTTGAGTATATATTGTATACATAGAAAATGCAGATGCTTCTTGCCTTGTGTACACCCTCACTGCCGCCATGGGGTGAGCTGAGCACCTCACAAACATCTACCAGCTGAGTATTTAATTCTGAATGCCGAGGACTTGAGCTAGGAATGAGCCTTGTTGCGCCTGGAGTTGATTGTTCATTCAAGTGTAGAGCTCCCACGTCGTCCACTATACCATGTGTATAACTCTCAACTCGCCTCAAAGTCCTCGATTGCGTAAATACAGATACTCCAATGCGTAAATATTCTTTTGAGGCGTTCTTTGACAAATGGAACGAGCACTGAAGATATACAACAGCGTCGAAAAGACTAGCTCAAACGTATGCTGACGAAGGTACTTCAATAGACTGCCAAGAACCTAGGCCTAGTATCACCAGAAAATATAATGCGCCTGAGAAAAAACGCGCAAGCTTACTGGACTTGAGAATTTCCGAGGAGTGCAAGCCCATAACGGGTTCTGGGAAGTCATCGTAAGAACCACGGAACAGAGCGACCTGCGACGTTTCGGCATTTACCGGGCGGAACCAAAGTTCTTCAAGGCTTTCTCTTCCGACTTTGACACTCTGGAGTATCGTATATCATAGCTCGTAACTCTCAACTCTCCTCGGTCTGACGGCGAAACCGGCTACTTCTGCAATTGGAGGCTCCTGCCGGTCCCACGACACTTTCAGGATGTTCGCCGACTTTCCCTGCTCGCGCGACATCTGATCATCCCTTTAAGAAGTCGCGTGAATTAAGATACCTCTTGTATCATTTCCAGGACAAATGTCTGGAAGAGTCGTTTCAGGGTTTCTCGAATACAAGCTAGCAATCACTCTTGCCCACAAGAATCACATTCATCTACTCCGCGAACAGATAAATTGCTACAATGACTATGGAGATGTAGTACAGGGGTCACCAGTAAGAGCTGAGCTTCCATTCGATGCGTGCTGGCTAGCGTATTCTGCTCTTTTTCTCGGCTTTCATTCAAATAACCCCGCATTTTTTAGTATTCGAAGTCGGTCTGGGTTCCCGCAAGCAGGGAAGCGCAAGATAATGTGTGATCTCCTTCCTGCTCCTTGAGCTCGAGCACGAGTG